ATGATGTCTTTAGAATAAAGACGAAACGTCTCAATTTGAAATGGTCATTTCAACATGTAAAAAGGTGATTTTAATCTTGATTTTTGCCATAAAATTTTTCACCTTAAACAAGGAATCAATTACTCATCTTTTGATTCTGATTGCGAATATGGCATTTTTATTGCTCAAAAGTTGAGTTCTGGTCCAGAAAATTGGAAATTACGGGTAAACTTCCGACTTCTTCGTCTTTGATTTGGAAAAAATGAGTTTTTCAAGCGCGGAAAAGGAATTTCGAGAAAAGCTCATGATAGATTTGAACTTGTTCTCTGACGAATCTAACCGTGTGTGAATTAGGGCTCTATGACCCTCAACAAAAACTAAATAGGTTTTTGAGAAACGGCCGCCGTTCTTGACTCATCGCGGTTCTGGAATTTTCGGCGGATAGGGTTTTGGTTTTAGGACTTCGACAGTAACTTTTTTAGATCCAGTTTTCAACGGTGAATTCGGTTCTTTTTTCAAACCTTTAAAATGTAAGCGAGAAAAACAGCAGAGCTTTTACAAGAAAGACCAGTTTTTTCGGTTTTGGACATGTTGTCAGTATTTTGAGAATATCTTAGCGAGAAAACATTTTCCAGAGGCGGTGACGTGATAGCTAGTCATCATAGCTAGAGACTTCTAAGTTTGTATCGTCATTGTTCTCATCGAATGGTAATCACCCATCAAGTTTAAACCACTTTTTCGGGATGGTTCGTGACCATTGTTCTAACCGTGCGCATTCGGTTCTGCGTACAAATCTAAATTTTCGGACCTCAAAAACGTTTTGTTATCGGGTTATGAAATTAAAAAAACAAAATGAGTTAAATTTTTTCCACAAAAAACGACCGTGTTGTTTTATTTTGATTATTTTTCAACGAACTTATGGTTGAAAAATCAAAACAATGAAGCTATTTTTTATTGCTAGAGAACCTCAGACTAGTGTTCAAAAATGCCGGACATTGAGTATCATTATTATTGTTAGTGAAAAAGTTAAATTCCTTGAAATCAAGATTTTTAGCATGGTGATTTCCAAAAAAATTCATAACTCATTCTAGGAACATCATTTTGGCTTCTTAATTGCACCAAATACTGCGCAGTGCCTCTAGACTCTGCTGCCAAAGTATGAAGGTTAACTATTGCACGGTTCCAGAAACTTCGTTGGAAATCCGATGCTAATGTAACATACACAGGGAGACAAACTTGAGGAAATAAGAGTCGCCGCTTCTATCATAGTTTCCATTAGTGATTAGTATGTATCAGAATTACGTAAAAATATAATCACGGAAACCTATGGGGAAAAAAACAGTCGGTGAAACATTGTAAAGTATAGATCAAGAGTTATTGACATTTTAGGGAAGACAAATGAAATGCTTATATCTCACGAACCATCCAGGACTAGAGGTTCAAATGTTAATCAGTAATGGTTAACGGGTAATCAGTTAATTTAGTTATAAAATCAGTAATGGGTAATGGTTAATCAGTATTCGGTGAGAACAACGATGATACAAACTTAGAAGTCTCTAGCTATAATGATTCTTGAGTTACAGGGAAGGGCTACTTTTGCGGAGTTCTGTATTTATACCGAGAAAATGGTGAGAATGCGTACTAGTAATTGTTTCTAAGAAACTGTATAATTTCACAACCAATACTCACATATGAATGATCATATGAATGCTTAAAATATGTGTTTTGAAGTAATAACGACTAATTTATCATAAAACAACATGTTATTATGTTAAAAATGTTGGTTTCAAGGAGTTTAACTTTTTCACTAATAATAATAATGATACTCATTGTCCGGCATTTTTGAACACTAGTCTGAGATTCTCTAGCAATCAAAAATAGTTCATTTTGTACAAGATGTGTTAATGTGATTTTTGGTATTTTAATATCTGGATGTCGAAAATCGTCTTTTAAAAAAACAATTTCATTTTTAAAGTTTTATAATTTCATTGTTTTGATTTTTTAACCATAAGTCTGATTTCTAATACCTTTAAAAGTATCACGTTTTATTCAGTGTTCTTTGTTCTTTCGATTGAAATATAATTCAAACGTTGCAATATACAGAACGGATGAAAATCGAAATAAAAGAACATGGTCGTTTTTTGAGGAAAAAATTTAACTCATTTTTGTTTTTAATTTCGTAATTCAATAACAAAACGTTTTTGAGGTCCGAAAATTCAGATTTGTACGTAAGTTTGAACGAAGAACCGAATGAGTGAGGTTAGAAGAAAATCTACTTTTTGATCATATTACGGACTTTTGCGCTCATGGATCGTCTCTTAAGAGATAATTAATATAGTTTTAGGATTTTACTTCAAATGAAGGGAGTATGGTTATTACTTTAAACAGCACGTGCTAAAAGAGAGGATACGATAAAAAATCCGTTTTCTCTTCTTCATCAATACCGATGATATATGCAATTTACATGCTCTCGTACTGTCTTGTCTGTGATAAGAGCGCAAGAGAAAGAAAATAAAGAACGCAAGTATTTTTTGAAGTAACAAAAAGAAAACGCGCAGCATGTATATTACTGAATAAATAAATTATTTTTAAGTCCAAGTAACGTACAATCAAGCCAAAGAAACACAAAATGGACTCAAGGTCTTTTACACAACAGGTCACAGAAACAGTTCATGAATCGACCGTATCTGATGTTGATACAACAAACGGATCGACGGCAACACGACATAAAAATCAAGTCAGTCTCACAGATCGCAGGTTTGTAGTAACTTTTATGTTCACTCATTTTTTCAAAGTTTACAAAATTTTGCGACACATTCTCTTGAAAAATATTTCTACTTATATTTTCAATGTTCGTTTGTGTGAATAGTGTACTCTGATATAGATAGAACGAATAGTCCATCACAGTTTCTGTAGTGTTTCGCCTATAACTTCAAAATGTTTCATGTGTCTGAAATGATGAATTTTGTTTTAGTGTAGTTCAAAAAGTAGCGATTATCGGGGGTGGAGTAAGTGGTCTTATTGCTATCAAGTGTTGTTTGGAGGAGGGACTAATTCCTGTTTGTTATGAAATGACTGATGATATTGGCGGTCTGTGGAACTATGATGCAAAAGCAGGCATGGAGGGCAAAGCATCTGTAATGAAGTCAACAGTTATTAATACCAGTAAAGAATTTATGGCATTTAGCGATTTTCCACCACCAAAAGAATATCCAAACTATATGCACAATGCAAAACTATTACAATATTTTCGAATGTATGCCGAACATTTTAAATTAACACCGTTTATAAGGTTTAACCGACGTGTGAGGTTAGTTGAGCCAACAGATGATTATTCTAAGACTGGTCAGTGGATTATTCATAATGAAAATGCAACGAAGTCTGAATTCGATGCTGCAGCTGATATTGTCGACGCTGTCATATTAGCAACCGGACATCATGCATTTCCGAGATGGGCTAAATTTCCTGGATTAGATCATTTCAATGGTATAAAACAGCTACTATTTTTTAAATTAGGCTTTACTTCAATATGTCACATTTTAGGTAAGAAATTGCATAGCTGGCAGTATAAGACTTTTCATGAATTTGAAAACAAAACCGTTTTAATTGTGGGCATCGGAAACTCAGCAGGTGATATGGCTGTTGAACTAAGTCGAGTAGCAAAACAGGTAAGAGAGCTGATTAAATGCATATGTGTGTCAAAATACAAGAACAATTACGAAATGAGATACTAAATTGTTTCTATTGAATTAATTAAAAGAAAGAGGCAATGTTTGTTATTAACGAGCTTTCCTCAAGCAATTAGGCATAGCAAGAACAAATGTATGAATTTCTGTTTAGTGATGACTTATTCTTCTGATCAATCACTTAAAAATCTATCGAAGTTGTACAATTATGATTTGTCTTTGTCTAGGTATATTTGAGCACTAGACGGGGTACATGGATTTTGAATAGAGTAGGTCCGAATGGCTGGCCAATGGATTTAAAAATGTCGAATTTAATTACTGCTAGTGCTCAAAGATATTTGTTTGATTTCACAAATTGGTTTGTATCAAAGGAATGCAATAAAAAATTTGACCATGAAATGTACAGCTTACTGCCTAAACATCGTCCATTAGGTATTTGACTGTCTTACTTAATTTCTGTTGAACTTGATACAAGAGAATATGTTCTAAATTATACTAGAACAACATCCATTTGTTAACGATGATTTACCGAATCGGATCATTTGTGGATCAGTCATTATTAAACCAAATGTAAAAAACTTTACGGAAAACGGTGTCGTCTTTGAAGATGGTTCTGAACTGGAACATGTCGATTGTTTATTAATGGCTACAGGATTTGACATTGCATTTCCCTATATGAAAGAAGGAATTTTACCAGTGAACAATAATCACGTATATATGTCTAACTTATTTTTAGATTCTTTTTTGTCCTACGTGAATGTATATATTTTCTATTTTAGATTCGTCTGTATAAATATGTTTGGCCGTCACATCTAACCCATCCAACATTAGCTGTACTTGGTTTAATTCAACCATGGGGAGCTATAAACCCAATGAGTGAATTGCAAGCTCGATGGGCTACACGTGTATTCAAAGTATGTCAGATACATCCTGTGCATAGTTATCTAAAATGGAACACTGTTTTTTATTCTAGGGTTTGAATTCTTTACCGTCAAAAGAAGTCATGGAAGATGATATTGATGATAAACTAGATGAAATGACAAAACGCTATGTCTCATCACCGAGACATACAGTTCAAGTAGATCATGTACCATATTGTGACGAATTAGCAGCCGAAATATTTTGTAAACCAGACATATGTAAGACAAAGAAAACACATTACTTGAATGTAGATGTAAAAATATGTTTAAAAAAACTGCTGTAGTCATGTCAAATTTTCGTTTGACATTGAAATTTATACTTCGTCGTGTGTTCAAATCTCTGAAAACATACGTAATTACATGCAGAATCTGTTTTTCTCTAGGGAAATACTTAACGACAGACGTCAAACTTGGACTTAAATTGATTTTCGATGGTTGCACACCTTATCGATATCGTCTACAAGGGCCAAATAAATGGAATGGTGCTCGAGAAGCTATAATGACCGTAAATGAAAGGTAGCACATTTGTTAAAATATCCTTGTTGAAATGGAAACTTTCTATTTTCTTCTAGAGTTGAATATCCGTTGCGAACAAGACGAGCGGAAGATAACTTAGAGAAAAAGACTTTGAACATGTCAAAAAGTTTATTTGAGCCATATTTTTTCATCTGTCTTGTTGTTGTTCTATTGATTATTGTAATGCAATGGTTTATGTGAACAGTCACCGTTTCTAACAATGGGAAGGACTTCCGTGTAGAATGTTCAAGTTCGACTTCGAGTCCAAACTCGTCCAGTACTATATTAGAGTGATCATAATGCTCAATAAATGAAGTTAATTTTAAGACAAAACTAAGATACGCACTAGTGTCATTTTAATTTGTTTTCAATGGCAATTAAAACAGATGTACATTTTTAACAGTTTTTAGTAGCTATCCATCTAGTCATTGTTTTTGTTTGATTCTGGTAATACTTAAAACTTCTATTACAATAAACTGTTGATGCAGTGGTTTCACCATCAAGAATAAACACCTTGATAAGGCACTGTGATGACTTTAAAATGCATGCACTGTTCTTAATGAAGACACACGAGATGCATTCTGTCACTTTTTATACTGATACTCACTTTGGTATTCGAATAAGGCACCTTTGAATCACTTATTTGTCGACAAAAATAAGTTGAGTGTCTTCACAAAACACCATTAAGGCCCTGGACAGGCACAAGACAGTAGTCACCATCAAGATAACTTGAGTGGATTACATTCAAATCCTAGTTCGCATCCTATATCGTAATGGTAGTCATAAGACGACGTATTTTCCTTCCATCCTACCAGAATAATGTTTATTCGACGACGTGATCTAAAGATAAAGGTTTCGTTTGTATTTTCACCAATTACTCCGAAATTCATAACTTAGTCAAAATTGATCCAAACTACTTGAGAATATCAACATATACTTTTTCTGATTTTTTTGGTGAAAAGCCCGAAACGGCAAGTATCAGTTTATTAATACATCATATTTGAAGAGAATCGGGTTCGGAAAACGTTTTTGATCAAATGGTCACAACGTATAATGAGTATAGCTCGATTTGTTGTTTTAATAAACCTAGTTTAAATCAAAACCTTTTTCGGGTTCGGGACGGGTTGAGTTCATCCGAACGGGACTGGGAGCGGGTTTCTGTTTTAAAACTTGCATTAATTTTCTCAGACTTCTGCTATTTTATTCAAAAAAAAGTAAGAAAAGAAAATTTGTGTCAAAGCTTGCTAGACGTTTATCACAAAAATAGAAATATAAAAAAGCCTTTTACTTTTCACGGTCAGTAAAAACTACTCTAACTCGGATAAAGTTTCTGCTCCTTGGCTGTTAACTGCCCGTACTCATCATTTTCATCGGACTGTTTTCTCTTTCCAGTACTTTTATCCATCGATATTGTACAACGAAACGTTTTAATAACCAACTTCTGGATGTAGAGATTTACGAATGCATAAATGGAAGAGGTTACTACTTTGCTGGAAAAAAATTTTCGGTTTCGAGCGGGTTTGAGACGGGTTTCATTTAAAAAAATCGACATCAGAATCCCGGAAAACTTCTCGTGGGTTCAGGTTCGAAACGGGTTTCAAATCTGCGAGACTGGATCCGGATCGGGTTCAAAAATCACAGACCCGCAGGACTCTAATTGTCATAGGACTTAGAAATTGCTATTTTGTTACACAATTACATCTAATCGGTTGCTGTTATTTTAATGTATCACTCATTATTATACCACCATTCTCTCAACTTTAAGTGGAAACTGACTCTTCTTAGAGTCACAGAATAAATGAATGTTTTCTTCAGTATGGTTGATATCGTACGTTTTCACCTATATTTGAGGCTGTCGTAAGTCATCGGATACAGAACTTGAGAACACTAGAAAATTCAGTCTCACATCTAAACGATAAAAAATAAAGGGATTGAAAAGTTTAGTGATTTTCCACCACCAAAAGAATATCCAAACTATATGCACAATGCAAAACTATTACAATATTTTCGGATGTATGCCGAACATTTTAAATTAACACTGTTTATAAGGTTTAACCGCTGATATTGTCGACGCTGTCATATTAGCAACCGGACATCATGCATTTCCGAGATGGACTAAATTTCCTGGATTAGATCATTTCAATGGTATAAAACAGCTACTATTTTTTAAATTAGGCTTTACTTCAATATCTCACATTTTAGGTAAGAAATTGCATAGCTGGCAGTATAAGACTTTTCATGAATTTGAAAACAAAACCGTTTTAATTGTGGGCATCGAAAACTCAGCAGGTGATATGGCTGTTGAACTAAGTCGAGTAGCAAAACAGGTAAGAGAGCTGATTAAATGCATATGTGTGTCAAAATACAAGAACAATTACAAAATGAGATACTGAATTGTTTCTATTGAATTAATTAAAAGAAAGAGGCAATGTTTGTTATTAACGAGCTTTCCTCAAGCAATTAGGCTTAGCAAGAACAAATGCATGAATTTCTGTTTAGTGATGACTTATTCTTCTGATCAATCACTTAAAAATCTATCGAAGTTGTATACATCTAATGAGTTCCTGTTATTTTAATGTATCACTCATTATTATACCACCATTCTCTCAACTTTAAGTGGAAACTGACTCTTCTTAGAGTCACAGAATAAATGAATGTTTTCTTCAGTATGATTGATATCCTACGTTTACACCTATATTTGAGGCTGTCGTAAGTCATCGGATACCGATCTTGAGAACACTAGAAAATTCAGTCTCACATCTAAACGATAAAAAATAAAGGGATTGGAAAATTTTCATTTTAAAGAGGATGTTCTAAATTACATACTCGTGGCGAAAAAATCAATAAATTCGTATTTCAACTTTTTGGACGATGATCTGAACTTCTTAAAGATCTCCTGGAGATCTTAGGAGAACTGATTTTGAAAGTTGCCTTGCAAAGATGTCCGCTCGTCGGTGTTTAAACAGATAATTATCCGTTCGAGACGTCCATACAAATAAAACCGTTGTCACCAGTCAAATTTACTGCTGATTCCTGGGTAGTGTACTGTTGACAGTTTTATCTAAAATTAATTTGTAACGGGTTGGGCAGAGAAAATGGCGCGATTTTTGATAGGCTGTTTTTCAAGTTATACTAGATCAGAAAGTTTCATTCTGATGTTAAAAGATAGAGAATTTTGTGTAGATTTTATTGATATGTTCTTTGTAAAATAAGCATTTACCGTTTTTTTGTAGCAGTGAAAGTACTGGATGTCACAAAAATATCACTTGCTCAGCACTTTACTGAAATAAAATGTCCATTTTATCTGCCAAATAATTTTGTACACGCTATTCAAGTACAGTATGAAAAAAATCAGAAAAGTATTTGTTTTTGAGACACAAAACCAAATTTTTGGACAAAGTTTTACTATTTTAAAAACTGTCTACAAAAGATGGCTAATTATCGATTTTTGGCGCCTTTCATGTCAAGGAAAATATCTCAACTTATTCATTCAAATAGAAAAACAAGTCAGCCATTATAAAGAAGAGCATTTTGTAGAGCTTGAAATTCTACATCTGTTGGTATAAAAACATAATTATTGTAAGTCCGAATTTTGAGAAAAATTGCTAAAGACAAGTACGATTTCGTTGGCCGAGATTGTCTTCTTGATGTTTTGCATTTTTTGAAGGATAAACAAGTAAGCATTTAAAAGTAAACATACCACTAGATGTACCGAAAAATTCTACATCTCGTACTACTCGGAAAAATTTTTGAACTGAATCTTACTCGACAAAAATTGATTTTCAAAACTTTCTGATTTTCTAGTGGTGTTTTTGTGGTATCCAGTACTTTTACTGCTATAAAAAAACGGCAAATGCTTATTTTACAAAGAACATATCAATAAAATCTACAAAAAATTCGCTATCTTTTTGCATCAGAATGAAACTTTCTTATTCATTCTAACTTGGGAAACAGCCTCTCAAAAGTCGCGACATTTCCTCTGCCCAACTCGTTATATGAAATAAAAGATTTTCATCAATATATTTCTTCATGTTTATCCAAATTTACTTTGTTCTTAGGATATGGATTTTAGTTAGCATGGATACTATAATGAATTCATTGCTTTTTATATCACATACACTCTGTTTTGATCAACAATGAAAACAATTAATTTTGAGTTTATTAACATAAAAAATGTGAAAACACAGAAAATTATATATTACCAGAGATGGGCAAGTACGAGTAAATACTCGAGTACAATTTGTTAGATACTCGTACTTGCGACTTTTTTTAATACGTACTCGAAAAAGTGTGTACTCACCCATCCCTGGCTACTGCATCTCTGCATATGACCGCTTTTCTATCATTAATAATGAGAAATACTTCTCTTTAGCTGTAATGTGCTCTGAAATCAGAATATTTCTATTAAGTATTTTATGATTTTTATCGGAATAACTTAAATTCAAAAATCTTTCAAGTTGTGAACTTATAAAATATATATTCAAGATAATTTCGAATTAATATATCATAAACTGTCACTTAAAAAAACGTACTCTTGTAGTATCAAATATTATATATATCAAGTTTAAGCGATTATTGATATTCTACCTTACTCAAGTGTTATAAAACATTTCGTCTTAAGATACATTTTTCAGAGTACACAATACGATTGTTTTGCTCGTTCTGTTGTTTTCTGTTGATACTCGTGTTTCTATCTGCTTTATATCATTGGCATTTACACAATATTTGATGAGTGAAACTGAAAATATAATGTGTAAAGCATAAAAAGGTTATGAAATAATAAAAATTATTCATCATGATAGTAAATGATTGTTTTGACAATACAATATAATTTTAAACAATCTAGCAGGAAATTTGGTATGTATTTTTTATTATCGTAATTCAGACAGAAAGGCTTTCATGTGAAACAGTTTTTTCAATCTGCATCTATGGACTTATATCTGCGAATACCTTATAAGATGACGAAAAGTTTAGAATAGCTATAAACTCGTATGCACAACGACT